TWRSCYTYMAAWWMMAAAARKYMAAAAAAATCTTTGACCCTCTCGCGGGCCACATAAAATGCYGTGGCGAGCTACACTTGGCCCACAGGCCTTGAGTTTGTCCACTGGCTATACTTCCAGAAAAAGTAACATCCCATCCGTACCTTGGTGTTTCATAGTTATTTTTGTTTTAGCTGAGAAAAGAAGCCTGTATTTTGCAGAGCGTCCACACAACCCAATTTTTGCTTCATCTGTTCAGACRTTAGAACTTAATGGACTTTTCACGGTTACAGCTTCACTCAAAAACAACGTCGTGTAAATGGGGCCCCAGTTTGGACTGCACCCGATAACCCACTTCCCCCCCTGGAAAAAGAATAGGGACATTCCCCACCCCCCACCCATGAGATGGACGTGCAATAATAAAGGAATGGTGAAGAGTTAGTAAGATGTTTTTTAGATTTAAAAAAGGGATTTGTTTATTTGTGTGTGTGATTAAAGCGAATTAAAGGAGTTTRTACTTCAAGGTCTGGTTGTAAAAGTGCTGAGGTGGATTGCAAGTCACGACAGTAACCTGGCTGAACAAGCTTTCATTTACTTCATGGCTCTGAAAGAGAAAAAAAAATCTGAAAATAAAGCAGGGATAGGGCGTGGTGGTGGTGAGGGAACAAACTCTGCAGCTGAGAAAAAGTTGCCCACTTTGAATACCAACTGCTCAGAGAGACCCCCCCCGCTTCAGTCCCCCACTTCAGTCGTGAGAAGTGTTAGAAACAGCAGACATAAAGGAGGGCAGACAAACTGTGGTGGACTTTTGCCAGAGTGGGGGAGAAGGAGGGGTTGAGAGGAGGAACCACTTATCAGTGAGAGACACGCTACTCCACTACTACACACAGATTTAATCAACAATATCACAAACACACAGAGCTATCACAGTGGGGTTGAGATCGGATCAAAGAACACTTGGCACCTTGTGACGTTCACTTCAACAACAGGATAAACGTAAATGACTTGTTTTTAGAAAACATCTTAAAAGCCTTTGTCTGTACAGTTTGTCATCATATAAAGCATGCTTCACTTTCCACACACTGTGGTTAACAATCAACCAGGAGAGTCTGGGCACTCAGGAACCTGCAAGAGAGGAGATGGTCTCAAAAGGTCAATATTAGCCCATTATAGTGTTTGTAKAAAACCCTTTTAGTAGACTGTGTTCATCTATATGAAGCTCTGCTGTAATTCTTTTTTATTTTCAATGGAAATAAAGGATATTTGATTTCAGAATTTATTGCTGTAGCTTTTATGAAGTGGAGTCTAGTGGCAAAGGTCAAACTGCTAACATCTTACCTGTTGCATATAGTTTGAGCATTACCAATGATTGTAAACATTTACACTACTGTCAGTCTTTCCAATATGTGGTATTAAACATATATATTTTTTTCCATTTTGTTTGTAACTGTTCTAGGACTAGCCATTATCCAGTTCAGTCAGAACTGAAATCTGTCCAAATTGAGGTCATTCAAAAATTTATCTAAAACAGGTAAAATATTAATTGTTCATAACTTTGCTAATTCTAATTAACCCCACAATGAAAAGCTAAATTATCCCATTGAAATTGAAAAATATTTGCAAAARAGCATAGACATATCCTGCTTTTAAATCCTTCATTTTTACATTTAAATCACTCAGTTGTGATCTTTGTAAAGTGGAAACACGGCACAATGCCTTGGTCTGAATTTCTCCTTATTTGAACTTTACCAGCCCTTCTTTCACCTCTTTTCTGCTGTGTGTCTCAGAGCAGCGTTTTGTTACTGTTCCTTTAAGAGGCTTCAAAGAGTGGCGGCTGTCAATAGGGGTGGTGC